CTCTCCTCTCCCCCCCACCCCTTCTCCCCCGCCACGGCCGATCTTCCGCTGCTGGTCCCACCGGATCTCAAGACAGTAACGCCTTGACCGGTCGCGGAGGAAGAGGAGGGCGTCTCCTTGAAGAACGTGGACACAAACGGGCCAAAGGTTAAGCACTTTAGAAAGCACCTGGCTATAAGGGCCAGGACTAGGGTGAGACCAATGAGGGCAGGGTTGGAGTTTTAAATTTTTGAGATTTTGTTCACTATGATTTTTTTTTTTGCATTGCATTGATTTTGATATTTTAAAATATTGCATTAGATGTTACTCACCTTGATTGCCGAGGTTTTCGATGTCCCTGTAAATGGTGCACCCAAGGCAAGTGCCTCACTTGCCATACCCAGGTTTCCACACTGAGAGCTGTTGAAAACAACATGTTAAAATAATGTTCTAGTCCATTATAAAATATTGTAAAAGGTCATCCTGAAATATGAGAATAGCTTCTCGTAATACCATCCTCTTAGCCAAATTTGTTGCCTTTTTTTTTTTTTTTTTTTTTTTTAATGTTCCCTTCTGGTTTTTCTTCAGGGGGAAAAAAATTGAACATCTGAATGGTTTTTGTTATTTGTTTATTTGAGAGAGAGAGAGAGAGAGAGAGAGCTGAGTGTGAGTGGGGGAGAGGGGAAGAGACAGAGAGAATCTTTAAGCAGGCTCCATACCCAGCACAGGGTCCCAAGCGGGGCTCAATCCCACGACCCTGGGATCACGACCTCAGCTGAAATTAAGAGTCAGATAGATGCTCAATCGACTGAGCCACCCCAGGTGTCCCTGAATATTTTATAGTTATAAGAATTGGACAGACAATGCGTGGGGAATTTTTGTTAGTTTTATGATCAATAAGTCCATGTAACATGCAAATACCTTTTATAACAAACTGATGTGAGGACTTAATGAGTTGCTACAGATAAATGCACTTGGCGAGTACACAGCCCTTGACTGGTAGAGTGTTGGTGGTCCTGGTGGTACTTGCCCAGGAGTCTCTAATCAGCCTCATACCCAGCGTCCCACTCCCTCTCTCTTTGCTCACCTCCTCCTTCTCTCTCATGAGTTCTTCCCCCAACTCCAGGGTTTCAGGTTTTGCTGAGGCCTCCTCCCCTGATCTGGGGCCATTTAAGGTATATGTATCCTCCTCAAGGTTTTAGGGTGGGAGGACACTGGAGAACTTTCTAGCTCAACTGCCTAATTTTGCAGTCTGGGACCCAGAGAGGTACCATGACTTGCCCAAGGTCACACAGCTAGCATACAGCAGAATCAGTCCTCATACCCAGGACTCTTGAGACCCCTCTCCTGCGCTGTCTGCCCACCAACCACCACCTCCCTGAGAATGCCTGTAACTTCAGATTGCCCAGAACAGGTAAACAAGCAAACCCAAAATGCTGAAACCATATTCAAGGGAAAAATTTTAAAAGAAAACAATCCACTTCTGTTAAAAGGTAAACCGTGGCATATTCATAATTTTCAGGGTTTATTTGGGCAAAATTGATTCAAGTGGGGTAGCAGCAAAACAGGAAGTGGTTAGGAGCATTGTACCTACAGGAGCCAGGGGAAAGGCTTCTAGAAAGACATGGGTGGAAAGAAAGCAATGCAATTATTTGATTGGCTATAGCTTAAGCAGTTACATTATTTGGGAAAGCCTAGTTGGCTGTGATTGACTGTTCTTAAGTTTCGATTTCTTAACCTTGAGACATTACAGGCTTCCATTCGGGTTTGCTTACATTAGCTACTAGGGCATTAATGCCACTCAGTCTAATGGCCTTCTTGTTTAAATAATTTAAGACTTCAATACCTTGGTTTAGTACTTATCCGTAAGCATACATACACGGTTTTGTTTAATGTAAGTGCAACCAGAGTGAACCTACTTCCTAATGTTTTTTCCAAGTTGCTGGGTGATCTCGTTTATGGCTTCGTGGCTACAGTATATCTCATCAAGTTGGGCTGTATGTCAGTTACTTTGTTTCTTCTGTTGTGTCATGTTCCTAGGCTAGGTCTCTGGGAGCAGGATTGTAGGGGAAGAACCCAGTATAAAGATGTTTTGGAAACCAAGTCCTCAACCAGCCCCTGCACTTGGCCCCTGCCTGAGGCCTTGGCAGCCAAACCTCCCCCCGCCCCACCCTCATCGTGTCCTCCCTCCTCAGGCTGCCAACAACCTCATCGTCCTGGGGCGTGAAGAAGCAGGGGCCGAGAGGATCTTCCAGAACAACGGAGTGGCCCTGCTGCTGCAGCTTGTGGACACCAAGAGGCCCGAGCTTGTGCTAGCGGCTGTGCGGACCCTGTCGGGCTTGTGCAGTGGCCACCGAGCTAGGGTGAGGGCCTGGGTGTGGGGCTGGCAGCACAGGTGGCTGCCAGGCAGATCTGGAGGGCGACATGTGGACAGTTAGTGGGTGGCATAAATAGACCCAGATGCCAAGTGGAGAGTGTCCCCCCACCCCCTGCCATCCTCGATTGTATGGTCCCGGATCAACAGAGATTGATCTTCCGCATTTCCCTTTGAGCTGGAAATGCATTTATGCAAAGATAAGGCTAGTGAAAGTTTATGAGGAAGAGCTGAATGCAAAGGTTATGACAGTTTACATTGTATCGTCCTAAGTCTTCCAAAGCCCGTGTATATTTTACGCGTAAAGCACATCTCAACCTAGACTCACCACATTGCAAGTGCTCAACGGCCCCATGTGGCAAAGTGGCTACTATATTGGATGGCCCAGGCTTAAACCTCTGGAAAGGGGCCTGGCTTGTGTCAAGAGCCTGCCTAGACCATGGGCCCCGTGAGGCGTGGCTGCCTGGGCTTAGTTCCCTACTGCAGGGGCATGGTGGGGATGGACGTCACCCACTTCCTAACCTGCATGGCAGCTGGAAGAGAGGGGCGGGCAGCTGACTCGTTCTTGCTGGGGGTATAGGCCACAGTGATTCTCCATGCCGTCCGGATAGACAGAATCTGTAGCCTCATGGCCGTGGAGAACGAGGAGATGTCTCTGGCCGTCTGCAACCTGCTCCAGGCTGTCATCGACTCTCTGTCAGGAGAGGACAAACGAGAACATCAAGGGAAGGAGGAAGCGCTGGTCTTAGGTAGGAGGCATTCTTCAGGTTTTTTTCCACGGGGGTGGGGGCCAGGGAGAGTCGGTTGCCACCTTAGATGGGTCATTCCCTGTAGGTGGAGGTGGCCTGGTTTTATTTTTATACTTATTTTCTAATTAAAAGAGTGTTAGAGGCATAGGAGCATCATTTTCAATAACTGAAAGGTGGAAGCAACTCAAGTGTCCATGTGCGGGTGAATGGATAAATAAAATGTGGTACGTCCACACAACGGAATAGTATTCAGCCTTAAAAAGGAAGGAAATTCTGACATGTGCTACATGGATGAACCTTGAGGACGTTATGCTAGGTGAAATAAGCCAGTGACAAAAAGATAAGTACTGTTTGATTCCACTTATGTGAGGTATCTGGAGTAGCCCAAATCATGGAGACGGAGTGCCTGGGTGGCTCGGTTGGTTAAACTTCTGACGTGGGCTCAGGTCATGATCTTGCAGTTTGCAGTTTGATCTTGCAGTTTGAGCCCCACGTCCAGACAATGCCTCCCTGCCTGCCTCCCTCCCTGCCTCCATGCATGCCTCCCTCCCTCCCTGCCTGCCTCCCTCTCTTCCTCCCTGCCTGCCTTCTTCCCTCCCTTCCTTCCTGCCTGCCTCCCTCCCTGCCTGCCTCCCTCCCTGCCT